AAGGTCTCCAAGAGGAGGGTTGACTACTGGCTACTACACTATTGTCGCAGTCTGTTCATGCTTTAGTCAATAAAAAGTGAAACATTGTTGTGAAACATAGCATGATCATTGCCCCTACCTAGCCAGCGTGTGCACATGTGTGTCAATGCTGTGGCACTTAGGACAATATGTAGACTGCTATACACAAACTGTACAATCAAGTGTCATGACATGATTTACTGTTTTGTATTGTTATTTTTTACCCATTTGGTTATTTTTATCATTACTGTCAATTAATGCTCTTACAGTTTAGTGCTATCATGGCATTTACCTGTAACTACACTTGTTTTGGATTCCATAAATCACAAATATAAGCCTGCAGTTCAGCAGCAGTCTTACCTGAATGGTATCAGGGAGTAGAATAGTGGAGCTTCTTCTGTGACTATCAGATAAATAAATGTTTTTGTGGTTTGGTGGAAGCTGGGGGAATTTTGCATTTCTCAGAAATGAGATGTGAGTTTTATTTTGCATGCTATGGTTCCCCTAATAGTGGTGCATGTACATTTTCTGCCCAACACTTTGCTGATGATGGTTTGCGTGCTCTCATGATCAACAGGCTACAGCAGGAGCCAAAAGAGCTCTGTGCAAAAAAAAAAAACTCAGAGTCACCTTGTATTAATTGTTTACGCTATACCTTTCAAACTATTATATAAAATGAGTAAGTAACCCACTACAGGGGAAGGTGGTAACAGACCCATTCTGGTCAGTCATGAGATTGCTAGATTGTTTAGCCTGTATGTTTGAAACTAGCCTACATATTACCCATCAAACTAAACTAGAGAATCTGTTAAATTAGAACACTAGAAGCCAGATATGAAATTTTGATTCCCAAAATTGGATTCTTCTACATAAACATGTCACTGTTTCACACAAGGCCTTCAAACGTCTGCGAGAGAGGTGGGTGTGCACAGCAGTGAGATCACCCCTGTGGAATATTCCATATTCATATACAAACTTCTCCGGTCAGTATTTCCATATAAGATATATTAAGAAATCTCTGACCACATTTGAAATAAAACAGGTAAGATAAGTGATTAATGAAATTAATTTGGGTGTTGTAGAATATAGTAGTTATCTGGAAGCACTGTCTTACACTAAAAAGGACAAAATCTCCATAGAATGATGTACATTAACGGTTTTACACTCTTTTATAGATGAAAAGTTACTTACAGTACATCAACATTCACATGAAAGTGAACAATTCAGCACAGCTGCTCCAGAGTCAACCATAGCAGGAATAAATGACAAAAGACTTCTTGTTTCAGAATCTCATCGAAATATAGTGTTTCATAACATACACAGATTAAACCTTTACAACAAGGGCAGGAATCTGAGGCCATAGTGGGCACAGGCTCGCTGAAGCTGCAAAAACACTGCCAAATCTAATTAATCTCAATTTCTACTGCGATATGAAGATGGCAAGCTCAGAATCTGATATAAACAGCAAGAGTCCAGGGACCCAGCCTGCCTTGTGGAAATAGTTCAAGCCACTGCTGGTGGTGTAATGATGTAGGGAGTGCTTCATTGGCACATATTGGGCCTCCTAAAACTATTTGAGCATTGTTTGAACGCCACAACCTAACCACACGCATCCTTTCATGGCCAAAATTTACTCATCTTGTAACACAACCTACTTCCAGCAAGATCAGGTACTGTACCATCATCTCAATGACTTCCATGAATATGTGAGTGATTCAGTGCACTTCAGTGGCCTCGTCAGCCACCAGATCCGAATCCAATAGTGCGCCTTTGGGATGTGATAGAACCAGAGACTCACAACAAGAATGCTGACGTATATTACACGCAGTTACATTTTTATGTCAGCATGGATCAGAATTTAAAGTCCAGCGGACAAACCAATTGTGAGGAGCTGCCACATCGTCATTTGCATGGGCTGAGGACTGGAGACTGTAAAGCAAAACTAGAAGAATTCAAATTTGTCTCATTTCTAATCTCAAACAGTCCAACAGCATTCTTGTGTGGTTTGTTCTCAAACTTCACATTTTATACATGCATATCATTGAACTCACATGCTGGGTTGATATGTACTTTGGACGCAAAAGTTAAATATTTGGGATTATTTTTCAAAAGGTGTTTGCTTAATGAATCACAAAGCTTTTGATACATGCAGGTCTGTCCCTCAACAGAGGAGAGCTAAACTGTTTGTGGCATACACTTTATGGGCAAACATATTGGGACACCCCTCCTAATTATTGGGTTCAGGTGTTTCAGCCACACCCATTGCTAACAGGTGGATCAAATTAAGCACACAGCCTTGCAGTCTCAATAGACAAACACTGGCAGTAGAGGGTCATACTGATGAGCTCAGTGATTTTAAACATGGCTCTGTCATAGGATGCTACCTTCGCCACCTGTCAGTTTGTGAAGTTTCTGTCCTGCTATATCTGCCTGTCAACTGTAAGTGCTAATATTGTGAAATGGAAGTGTCTAGGAGCAACAACAGCTCAGCCACAAAGCGGTAGACCACGCAAACTCACAGAGCAGGACCACCGAGTGCTGATGTGCACACTGTCTATCCTCTGTTGAATCATCACTAAAGAGTTCCAAATTACCTCTGGAAGCAACATCAGCGAAATAACAACATGTTAGGAGCTTCACGAAATGGGTTTCCATGGCTGAGCAGCTGCACCCAAGACTAAGATCACAATATAGTGTATGTAGGCAATAGGCACTTCAACATGATTACTGAGAAGATTAGTTTCTGTAGCTGAACTGATCTCTGCCTTAGGCTGCATCATGAACAAAGCTAAAAATAAAAACTGATCGACTGGCTAGGAATTTTACAAGGGCTAAGGTGAGAACCCTAGTTGTGTCAATGTTTCTGCCACAATTGGTTTAGAAGTGTTTCTCTACCCTGGTCCTGGAGGCCCACTGTCCTCCAATTTTTAGTGTTTTCCTTGCTTTATTACACCCACTTCATTTCACTAATGACTTTTTAATGAGCTGATCAGTTGGATCTGATGTGTTGGGAGCAGGGACAACTCAAAAATGTGCAGAGAAATTCAAACCTGCAGTGTTTACTGTCCTTTCTGCTTTCTTTCAAGTGGTCTGAAAGTTTGTATGAGATGTATCTTTCAATAAAGTCACATCTCAGTGTTGGTCATTTTCAAACAGAGCTGCTTTAACCCAGAATAAGAAGAGCCTTGTTCAAATTCTACTCTGTAAAAAAGTCACCTCACCATTGAGCTGTGAAGAAGTCAGAATGAAATCCATGAGTGCTTATACAGGTTTCTCAAACATTAATATGTAACAGTAACATTGTGCATTTCTTTGACCAGTCCAAAGAGAAATCCAGTCTAGTGAAGCTCAAATAAATTGCACTGCAATGTTCAGTTTTGTTAGATGAACAATTAAATTTTATGTTGACATATAGACCTTTTATACTGGCTCTAGTCTGTTCGACTGAATGGAAATGTGTGCCATAAATGATGAATAAATGAAGTTCATAAAATGATTTAGCCATTGAGAAGGCCATTGCTTCCAGCTTGGGGAATTTGTATATTGGGACACACTTTATAATAACTTTCTTTAATAAATAGTTAACCCACCATTTACAGCTATGAATAAAATTAGTTCATCAGATTCATCAAATGTTCCTACATTATAGTTTATGTAATTGATGAGTGCTTTCATAGTCATAAATGATATACATGGTGTTTTCCTGTTCATTAACAACATAACCTTTCATTAATAAGTCATTAGTTACATCAATACAATTAATACAAATCACCACAGGCAATTACTTAGATGTGTGACTTTTTAATAGTGACATAAACTTTGTTCTATTCAATATGATGACAAAATCTGTCTAAATAATTAGATAACTTATAAATGTATACCTCCCGTCAACAAATGTGTATAAAATATTATTCTTTAGTTCTCTTTTTTGCAGTAGATTAAACAACGTCGATACTGTACACAATAGTTTATGTTACCAAAATAAATGCAAGACATGCCTGTCATGTGATGTTATCAAAAGGAAGCCTGAGCAATGTTATTGTACTTTCTATACTCATTTGGCGATGTCTTTCCAGCTGTCTTAGGACTTTATCACAAATGCAAAACTGCATAGTGTCTCACAACTGAAAGGAGAAAGAGAAAGGACAATTCCAAATGAAGGCAGAAACTAAAACAGCATGTTGCTCTATTTTACGTGACAGATATTTCTCACAGATATTCAGTTTGGGCATGATTTGGGGGTCAAGCGTGCTTTGAATCCCTTCATGTGAAAGATGAGCCAATTATTTTGCTTATATAGAGGAGCTGAGTCTGGTCATTGCTGGCCTGTGCAATGTATGGATAGTTGTGTCAATAAGACATCAGATTGCCAGTGGATATTGGACATTGACAAGTTCATAAACAAATGGAGTTTTGTTAGTAAGAGAGTGAACATTGAACAAAGTAAATTTAAGACTGGTAGCACCTGGGCAGAGGGTCACAGACCGTTTTAAGTTTCTGAGGGGACGGGGATGGTAAGGCCAACAGGAGTACACAGATCCATTGTTGCCATAGTAAAAATTCCCTGGGGATCTACAGTGGACATATTGAGGATGCAGAAGGATCTCACAGTGGATAAACAGAACTTGGGGCAGGTCATGGTAGGTTACTGCTAAGAGTGGAGAAGTTCAAGAGCTGAGTACTTTTGTACAATTGCAAAGCTGCACTGATGAGGGTCGAGGAAAAATAATCCACAATAAAAGATCCGTGTAGTGGAATTTCTGCAACACCCTGATGAAGATCCAGCAGCTCCAGCGGCTAAACTTGTTAACCCAGTAGAATGAAACAGATAGGAATCCGTCAAATGCAGTGGTGCATGTACCAGTGCTGCACAATCCAATTAAAAACAGCTAAGTAAAGCTTATATAGCACAAGGAAAACCTCCAGCTGAAGGCACAGCTCAAGCTCAAATAGAAGTAGTCACTTCTGTGTAATTTCTCCCTTTATTAAGTCATTGTTTTATTAAGACCCATAATATGATTTGATGAATGTGTTTCTGCTTTTTTCACAATTTATAATTCTTCAATTGGTAGTTTTAAGAAAGTATGAGGATGAGATTTAATAGTGTATAGTGCTACCTGCTGCTTATCTTGCTTTTGTGCATGCATGTTTCACATAGGACTTCAATGAGTCACTAAATCATTAAGACACGCCAACTCTTATAGGTTGGCCCACTGGATGGTCCAGCAAAAAAAAAAACAATACTAATAAATATATATTACGTATGAATCCCCACTGGTGACATCCTCTATGAATAAAAATAATACATGGCCATGACTTAGTAAGTCATAGGAACAAGATAATTAAGTCTGGGCCATGACTAACGAAGGTGTAGGAACAAGATTCTAATGTGTGGCTTTGACTTAGTAAGGCGTGTGAACGAGATCCTAATGCATGGCCATCTCATTCCCACGCCTTACTAAGTCGTATCCACGACTTAATAATCTTAGACCCATGACTTACTAAGTTGTGCCATGCATTATTTTTATTTATATGGGATGTCACCAGCAGGGCTTTATAATTAATTAATATTACTTGGCTATTGTGGGCATATCAGTCAAATATGTAGATGCCAAATATTAGTTTTTTTGCTTCTTAACACAAAGATATTACTGAGTCAACATTCCCAAAACTAAACCCTACATATAGGGGTTCAGTGAACTTAGAGTAGAAAGTGTGTATGTGGGTCAGTGCGTGTGTGTCCAAGGAGACGCTGTAGAAGGACAGAATGCCAGCTGGCCAGTCCAGATATACTCCTACTCTGTTTGAGTAAAAGGAAGAGGCAGGAATCTCAGTTCTCCCATTATTGTGAAATGCAAAGTAAGTGAACCTGCTACCATAACATACCAACTGCCAGGACATTCCATTGCTTCCAAATGTACTGTCATCACCCCTTCCATTTCTTTCAATTCCTTTATACGTCAGTGCCACGCCTGTCAAATCTTCACTAAACTCAGCCTCGCAATAACAGCGATCAGACAGGCTTTCTCTACACAACACATACATACTATGATGGAATCTTTCTGGATTTGACTTATAACCCTGTAGTTCTAACACACGAGTTGCCATTCGGTTTCCTTCTGATAGACGAAGATTTCGGTGTGCTGTATTTGAGTCTAAAGTGACCTCACAGGCATCTGCAAAGAGAAAGGATGTGACAATAGAGGTGAACACAACAGCGCATTTGTTCAAGTTTATGAGCATTGTCATTTCCAACACACGGTGCCCTCTCTAATATCTGGGTCAAAAGTATATGTTTTTCTTTTTGCCTCTGTACTCTGGTCTTTTGAATTTGTGCTAGAACAGTTTAAACATGGACAAAGTGCACATTCACACATTTTAATAAAGCATATGTTTATATATTTTAGTCTAAACATCTAGAAATGACTGTGCATAAGTAAGAGTGAAAACCTACATTTTCTTGGTCCTGATTTGATCCTACACTCTCCTCCTGCATCCATACTATTGGAAACAAATAGATACACCTGTTAACCATGTATTTTTTTACCCAGAGTTTTTCTTCATATTTTGTACTAGATGATAGAACTGCCACATCGCATAATGTTAGTCTTTATAATATCACAAATGTATGACAATTTGTGGGTATCAATGCAAATGCAGTAATTATAGACATAATGAACATTGTTAAGGGGTCTAAGTGTGTAGGATTTAAGTTCAATACCTACACATTCTGAAACTTACTTCAGTATCTGCAGTCTACACTGTGGTCCTTCCAGTTTGCCAGTGAGCAGTTTTCCTCCCGATTGTCCTGGGTAGTTATAGCTCAGATCCAACTCTCTCAGGAATGAGGGGTTTGAAATAAGAGCTGAAGCCAGATGTGAACAGCCTTTCTCTGTGACTAAACACCCAGACAACCTTTAAAAACCAAGGATGATAGAGCATGATTAACATTCCTGAGTATCACCAGCTATGCAGCTTCTATAAGCACAAAACAGGACTAGTTAATGTGGGTGATTTAGGTATGAATCTCTCTGGTCTGAATTCAGCATTGAAGACAAAGACAAGCTGTAGGGAATAAAAATATTTTTATTATCTTAAATAATATAAGGTAAAAAGAGTGTATGAGATATACTTGCTGTCATTGTGGTTAAATTAGTAAACAAAAAATGGGTAGATATTGTGTCACGGTGAAGTTTGCAGATGTTAGTTCATATAATAACCCAGATGATGGATAATTAGTGCAGTGGTTTTAATGAACACAAATTGATAAAGTCAGTGCTAGGCAGGTAGATATGATGAGCGTTAATATGCTAAGCTAAGGTCAAGCAGGGCAAAGAGCCCATGCAAGAGCTATGATAGAACAATTATAAACATGATAAACATGATATAATGATATGTAGATAGCAGAAGACCTGTAATGAATGGTCTAGAAGGAGTGAACCTGTGACAGTTTACTGTAAAAACAGTAAAAACAGCTAAACAGTAGTGAGTGTGTGTGTATATACACACACACACACACACACACACACACTTCTAGACTTCACACAAGACTTCTAGCCACAGGTGATGAGGCAAATGCTTAGACAGCTGGGCCATTCAGTATTTGTTGTGTACTTATTTTGTATTCACAGGAAAATATTATTTTTTGAGATTTTAGTACATTATTCCATTACTGACCTCAGTACTTCCAGTTTACAGTTTGGATTCTCCAGTCCAGCAGAGAGGAACTTCACTCCTGAATCCTGCAGGTCATTGTTACTCAGATCCAGCTCTGTCAGTGGTGAACTGGAGCTGAATACTGAAGTCAGTGTCTTACAACTGTCTGCAGACAGTTTACACCAGCCCAATCTGTGTGGCAAAATTACAGTAAAACATAAATGTCATTACTCCATTGCTCTTATTGAGCCTTATTCAAAGTTGTCTCTTTCACAGGCATGTGCAACATTGAGGTATTCTAAGAGTTTTTCTATTTATAACTTCTAATTAATTGAAGGGCTAAACTAATAAAGATCAGTTTTCATTTAAAAATTACACATTGACAATACTGAAACTCAATTACTACTATTTTCTACTATTTAAGTATAAGTATTCTTGTGTGTGCTATTGCACTCAACTGTTGTACAAAATAGTTTTGTACTCACATTTTACAATCAAATTTGACTCAAATTTGATGAATAAGCGCCAAAACGCTTAGTTTTGATAGTTTCTTATGTGTTCCAAACTTTTAAATTCTTTATTTGAATTTAAACCAAACATTACCTTAATTTCTCAAGTTTACAGTCAGAGGTTTTGAGACCATCTGAGAGCAGCTTCACTCCTGAATCCTGCAGGTCATTATAGCTCAGGTCCAGTTCTCTCAGGGGTGAAGAGGCAGAGTTTACAGCCAATGCAATAACTTCACACTGTTCTTTGCTGAAATAGCAACTTGCCAAGCTTTAAAGATAGTAGAATCCAAAAGTCATATTAGTTAATTTAAAAAACTCAATCACAAGATACAAATGGGTGGCAAATTGAAGGAAAAACCTGAAAAAATGAGAGGAGAAATAAAATGAGTGCAAATCCTAGGATGTTAAGCACTTAAATAATAATTTAAACATGCAGCAAGCTAGCTTCAATTTCAAATCAAAATGGCAAGAGAAAAAGATCTAGGTCACTTTAAGTGTTTGTAATTTGGGCATGAGCAGGCAGGAGCGTTTAGATCTGTGGGAAATCAGTAAATAGGTTTAGAAGTGTGGTCAAAAGTGCAAATTCATTGACAGTGATACTTGTGCATTAGTGAGATATAGAAGGAAAAACAGAAGAGCAGCTGTTCAACAGGTGACTGAGAATGTCAATGCAGCACAAAATCAGACTGTAAGCAAGAACAGACCATCCACGACTACATAGAGGTAGACCCTGTAGTAGAGCTACACTGCATAAACCCCTCAATACAAGACAAAGGCACATTTGAGAGTTCAGTGGTGCAAAAACTACAGGCACTGCTCTACAGAGATTTGGAAATAAGTGATCCGGTCAGATGCTGTACAGTGACATATTCAAGTGGCTCTGTTATGCTGGTGAAGGGCAGTCACCAGATCTCAACTTAATTGAGATTTACCACCATCATCAAAACTTTTTAGAGGTCTTCCATTCCCCTGGTATGTTTGTTTTGTATACCAAGACAACAGCCCTTTCGAGCACACCTACTACAATATACAGTTTGTGAATGCAGACCACGCCTTGGTAAGTGAAATAATGAGAGGAGGGGAACTCTGAGGAAATTTTGGGCTGGAGTTCAGTACGGCTTCTGTGGATCACGAGAAGGCCGACCCCCCTATCAAAGATGAAGTGCAGGCGTAGACAAGGTGGAGGAAAAGGGGAGGAGGAGGGGTGTGAAATTTCGTCATGAATAGGAGGAGTGAAGGACTGGTATTTATAGGAAGCTGAAATTGGGAAGGAGCAGTTTTAGGCGTGGTCTTTCCTCAAACTTCAGTTATGTCATAACTCCATTAGATATGGTTAAAAAGTACAATGACAGATACACACTTTAAGTTAATGTCATTGTGTAGACACATTTACAGATATTCTTTCTGAATAAGAATCTTGTAGTATATATGCTAACCTCATTTTCTCCATCTTACACTGTGGGCTCATTAATCCTTCAGAAAGCAGCTTTGCTCCTGCATTCATCTGTGAGTTGTTACTGAGGTCCAGCTCTCGAAGAGGGGAGTTTGGTAACTGCAGGGCTGAAGCCACAGTCTCACAGCACTGTTCAGTGAGTCCACAGCTATTAAACCTGATAAGTTACAGAACTGCATTTAAGCATATCATCATAAAAGTGTTCATAAATGTTGTGAAGGTCATTCATGCATGCACAAAGAGTATGTGATGTCACAGTATTTTTGCATATTCACTACACTTGCAGCCAAAAAGATAACATAATAGCAGTCTTCAATCATAGACAAGAACCATTTAAGCATGCAAAGAACTGTTTATGCCTGTATTTTTTTAGTTGTGATGGTTCTATGAATATCAACTGCCATTATTAAAGAACCCTTAAAGAACCATTTTAAGGGCGTAGAGAATATTTCCTTAAATGTTTTTGGCCATTTTCCCAGGACAAGAATTAAGCATAGTTCCTTTCAATGTAAAATTCACAATGCTGTGTATTCCAGGAATAGCCTTAATCCCTGTCTGGAAAACTGACCCCATTATAATTTTATAATTTGAGTCTATCTCTTCTGAATTTATGTTAAATCACTCACTGAGCTTTTCTGCAGCATCTCACTGCTGGGACCAGCCTCCTGCAGCCTGCATTTGATGTATTATACACCTTGGGGTTGAACTCATCCAGTATCTCTTCTGACATCTGAAGTATGTAGACCAAAGCTGAGCAGACTGAAAGTGGCAGTTCTGCTTCTGGAGTTTCCTCTGAACTAAGGTATGTTTGGATTTCTTTGAATAAGGTGCGGTCCTTTAGTTCAAGCAAGCAGAACAGGAGGTTGATGGATGCTTCAGCTGATATATCTTTCCTTTGTATTTTTGTTATGTATCTAATCAATTTCTCGACAGTCTCTTTGCTATCCTCTGTTTGTGCTAGCAGGCCTTTGAGGAGTTTCTGATTAGAGTCTAGAGTGATGCCCAACAGAAAGCGCAGGAAAAGATCCAGATATCCTCTCTGACTCCGCCAAGCTTTGTCAACTGCCTTGATCAGTAGGTAATATAAGGACACATTTTTTGGAGAATCCACAATGAAAGTAAAGCCTTCTGGAAGCGGACCCTCAAGCAGAAACTGCAGCTCGTCCTTGTCTTTGTTCAGGTAGCAGTAGAACACATGGAGTGCGGCAAGGAACTCCTGAACGCTCAGATGTATAAAGCAATAGACCTTCTTCTCATGAAGTATAGATTCCTGCTTGAAGATCTCTGTGCACATTCCAGTGTACTCAGAGTCTCCCCTGACATCAATACCACACTCCCTCAGATCATCTTCATAGAACATTATGTTCTCCCTTTTCAGTTGCTCAAATGCCAGCTTTGCCAGTTTCAAGATCACTCCTCTGTTTGATTCCAGGAGCTTTGTCAAGTCTCGCTCGACTTTCTGGTCATACTTTTGGTTCTTCATGTTCATCTGTATGAGCAGAAAGTGAATGTACATTTCAGTCAGCGTGGTAGGAATGTCTTCTCCCTGGTTTTCTACCAGCATTGCCTGAAGCACAGTAGCTGTCATCCAACAGAAGACAGGGATGTGGCACATAATGTACAGGCTCCGAGAGGTCTTAATATGGGAAATGATTTTAGAGGCTTTAGTCTCATCTGGTATTCTCTTTTTGAAGTATTCCTCTTTCTGTTTATCAGTGAACCCTCGCACCTCTGTGAATAAGCTCACATACTGTGAAGGGACTTTATTGGCTGCTGCTGGTCGGGAGGTGATCCAGATTACGGAAGAAGGAAGTAAGTTTCCCTTAATGAGATTCGTGATCAGTGCATCCACAGTTGCTTTCTTTTTTATGCTTCTTACATTGCTGCTGTTGAAATCCAGCGGAAGTTGACTTTCATCAAGCCCATCAAAAACAAACCCAAGCTTGCAGGCCTCATACATTTTTGTTTCCTTCAGTTCTTCCAGTTCAGGGTGGAATTCTAGGAGTAGCTCATGAAGACTGTACTCTTCCGATTTAATTAAATTAATCTCTCGGAATGGAAGAAAAAATATGCAGTCTATATCCTGGTTTGCTTCTCCTTCAACCCAATCTAGAATGAATTTATGTACAGAGACTGTTTTTCCAATGCCAGCAATGCCTTTGGTCAGCACAACCTTGTTCTCTTCATTTTTCCATGGTAAACTGAAGATGTCGTTACAGTTGATTGGAGTGTCCTGACATTTTTGCATCCTGAAAGCTTTGTCAATTCTCAGAATCTCATGTTCACTGTTGACGTCTTTGAGTTCCCCTTCTGTGACGAAGAGCTGTGTGTATACCTTTTTCAGATGTGTCTTATTTTTTACATCAATTTTACCCTCAAAAATATACTCTATTTTCTTCTTAAGGTTGGCTTTGTGAGTCTCCAGAATTTGTTTGAGAACACTTGCTTCTGTTTGATTGGAGAGAGAATTCAAGCAGACAAGCATTACCTTTGTTGAATATACACTGTTGCACAGTCATTCATTTGTATAGCTAATAAAATTTTTTATTAAAAAATGCAGATAGTGCCTTTGTCATTTTTATGTCACTATCAAATGTGATAATCATTGTCTTTAGGTTATTTAACATGAAATATGAAGATTAGAATTAATACATTATAATATTATAAGTCCACTTCCAGGAGTCACAGTTTTGTAAAACTCTGACCAGTGGTTTACATTAAGCTGATTTGTTATTTGTTTGTTTGTTTGTTTGTCTGTTTAAAGGGTTAAACTGGCCACATGTTTACCTGAATGTTTCTCTAATTTATCTGCTTCCATCAAATCTGTGAAACAAAAAAAAAAATGAATTAATGCATTATTTGACTAATCATCTGATTGTATCAGTATAATCAATATATGATAAATTTTTATGTTAAACTTTTTATGTCCAGAATTTAGTATGATAAGGAAACCTGCCACATAGCTTGTTCTGATTGGTCTAAAGTGATGATATTTTGTATAGGTATACTAACAATACTCAATACAATTTTTGGTTTCATGTAATTTTCATAATTATTGTTCACAATCAAATTTGATTTTTAAATTTTTTAAAATCAGTAGCCCCATGTGACCAAACAACTCAATTTAATATAATAAATTGATGATAAATACTCACTTTTTAGCCACATGGTTTGAAAAAAGCTCAGAAAGCATATAGACCAAAGGAAATTTAAAGTTCCAGATATAGGTGTTAATGGGCAAATTATAGCATACCAGTGTCAGCAGCATTCGTGCTGAAGTTAAAAACAGATGGGCCATAGAAGTTGTTGCTGTTGAGTGTAGGAGCGGTTACACTGGTGCCATGATCTGCATTCAAAACAACAGAGCATCCAGCAGGAGGAGTGGCAAGACTCTGATCCAGCGCTCCCTGCACTGAAAGGGAACCATTCTTAAGCAGTGCTATTAGTCAATGAGAGCGAGCTGTAGGCAAATTAGAAGTTTAGTACTTTCTACAGGTTTCTACAGTTTTTACCATGATGAGCCTATTGAAGGTTAACCTGCAAGCTCAGTTTAATAAAATTAGACAGTTCATTTGCAACAGTCATACAAAGTAATGTCTCATTTCACCATTTGCCAAAGCAAAAATTAGCTAAGCAGAGCATATGACCTTGATTTTGCTTTGCCTGATACTCAAAGCAGCCAACACATATTAGCATGCTGGTTTCACTGCTCTGCTGAGAATGGTCTACCACCCAAGTAATATCTAGTAAGTAGTGGTCTTATGGTGGTTCCATTGTTGTACAGGGTAATGGCCAATGAGGGCAAGGTGGGTGTCAGTGCCATCACATCATTTCCATTTGACAACTGCAGTTGCTATAAGCTTCCTTTGTATTCATTGCTCCAGTTTATCTTGATAGCCCACCCTTACCTTTAAAAACAAGGTGACATACTGTCTTCCCCACTTTCACTATTCTTCTTTTTTCTTCACTTTTCTGAAAGACTGAGTTTTTTTTTTTTTATTTAAAATGAAATGCTCATTCTTGTCACTGAATGTTACTGGATGGGGTTGGGCGATGTCTTCAGCAGACATTGGACTATGGCTTTATAATGACTTAGTAAAAAAGCCCAGGAGTTAGAGTTGAAATTTGTGTCTATTAAATGCAAACAGATGATAAACTGCCAGTTCCTAACAGACTCACATTAACTTCTTTATATGTTATATTCTCTTTATAACTGACTATATTCTGCCCTCACTAGCAGACTGGACAGCAGAAATGCTACAAGAATAAAAGGCAGACTTTAAGTTTAAGCCTTTAAATAAAGTGTTACTGAAAAACACACATGCAAAGCAAGGAATGTCACTTACATGCTTGTTACGAGCTAAAAAACTAGAGCTGGCATAAAAATCCCAAATAGCACTAAACTAACCCTGCTAGCTTGATGCTTATATAGGTAGCTACCATAGTAAAAGTAGCATTATTGAAACACTGGTTTAAAAAACAGAATATATGTCTAAATTAGACATTGCTGCAAAAAGGAAATATGTTATGGTTCTATGCCTGTACCTGGCACTTAGAGTAAACACAATTGAAAAGTTTAAATGAAATGACTTTATTAGCATGAATAATTGGTGTAACATTAGGCTGTAAACAGGATTCTCTGACTAAAGAGAATCATTCATTAAGCTATCTGTCCTAATCTCCACCCCTTGCAGTGTTCTGGAAGGCTCACCTGAATTGTGTTGAGTGCTTGAAAGCTGTTTTAGGCCTCTCCTTTTCCAGATCCAGGTTGAAAGAACAATCAGCAGACCAGCCAGCAGCAGCTCCATCACAGACTCCATTTTCAGTCACTGGGGAAAGAGATGATGCTAACAGAGGTGTCGAACGACATTACAAATTTTACTAACAGGTAAAGGTGCAACTAAGTGCACTACTGTAATTACTTCAGTTTGTTCCAATACTCATCTTAAAGAAATGTAGTAGTAATGGATTAGTAAATAGTGCTAATCCATTGTTCTGTACTCATGTTGGTCATTGTGATTTTGGTGAGATGGTGGCTTGCCGGTGGTATATGGAAGCTTTGGTTTGTTTGGCTTTCCCTTAGAACAATATTTAAACATGTGCGCTCATAGGTTATGAGATATTCCACTAATAGAGCACATTTTATGGCGTTTTTTATGAAAATGTACAGATTCATTTGTAAGATCTCATTTCTAGGGTTTGTATGATACATATAAAAACTTTCATAAAATGAAAGTGCGCCGGATGCTGTTGTGTTACTTTCACTTTGAAAAGATACTCACCGTTAGTCGTGGTCCATGATGGGCTGATGGCAGACGGTCTGTGTTCTATAAACCTCCTCAGAGACTATTAATGGGTCATTTCCCGGCGCTGATTTCAGTAAAACCAGTGTTTTCATTGTGTGTGAAACACTCGCTCCTCACACGAGCTGCGGCAGAACTGCTTTCGATTTAAAGCCACTACGTCATCGCTCTACAAGCGGGGCAACTGCTGAAGAGTCAAACCGAAACTGGGGCAAAAGGCCATTCAAGTAATCCGTAACTACTGTTCAGCTCATCGTCTTCTGTTGTAGGATAACCGATATAAGGTGGAGGCATACACTACACTGGTACGTTGGGATCACGTGTCATTTTTATTATTGCTGTTATTTTATTCAATAATAACTTATACAGAATAGATTGAAGGCAGAAGACATTTCAAGCTGTTTTTGTTCGGTATGTAAAGTTGTTTGGGAACATCAAGAATGTGTTACATGATAAATAACATACTGTAATCATCTGTATTTTATGGTCATTTCTTTGTTCTTTGTAAATGATCTGTTTTCAAATACAACGCATTCTGGCAGTTTAGTATAACTTCATTAAAACCTCATTCTCAGTTTTCTACAGCTTTCTTAGTAATTAAGGAATTTATATATATGGGTTATGGTTTTATTTGTGTTATTTGTGTTCTCCACTAGATGGCGCCAAAATCAGCGTTTTATTAATTCTGCCAGGGGAAATTAGTACACTGTTCTATGTCAATGGATCCCAACCCTGACCCAGTTACACAATGACAAAGACAGCTCGTTGAATTTAATTTAATTTAGTTTTTCGTACCAAAAAAAAAAAAAACACTTAAATGTCAACCACACAAAAAGTGAATATGGGTTCTTAAAAAGCAGGCAAACCATTAAAATGTGCAGGACACTGCTCCTCCAGGACCAAGATTGGGAGCCACCAGTCTAGGGGGAGTCATTTACACCCCCTAGGCTGGGGTATATGCTTGGTGGTCTGGGGGTATATGCTTGGTGGTCTGTGTATCATTGGTTATTTCTTTTGGTCTACTCATTGGAGAAGTTGAGAGGTGAATAAACAAATGGTAATACAAAAAATAAAACAATTAAATATGAAGCATTTGTCTTAAATGTGATTGTTTGATTAGCTTGAAAATTCAAACCAGAAAACACTTAGTATTTCTCTTCGGGAAAGGTGAACTGAGTGTTAGCTGCCAAAAATGTGTTTTGGGGGATTTATGTCATTTTTATGATTAGAAGTGATTCACACATTAATGGATTTGTTGATGGGTGTGAGATTATGAGTTCTGTCCTGCTGCTCCAGACAGCTAACCAGCACAACCACAATTATTAAAAAGAAATTAAAAAAAAAAGAGCAGCCCGTGCAGCCTAGATTAATGTATGTCTGAGAATTATAGCAAAACAAATTTGGTGTAAATCCTTTGAGTAATAATGAAGTTATAGACATGAGATCATCGTGAGAATTCATCGTATTTCAGTACAAGTGAATTTGTTCACAAGAGGATCTTGACCGCTCCAACATGTCGGACGCGCAGACGTATCGCGGCATCCAGGTGTGAATGTCTATGGCGAGGAATTCCGTTCATTTTGGCCATACTGTGAAATCATGTGACTTCATGTTAGTCACGTGACTTGTGCTTGTCATGTGCCGAGGTTGTGCTCTTCGTCTGAAAAGTAAAAGGCTTTTGATAACAGGACACATTGTGGACAAAAGTGCACAATTATAATGTAAATAAACGTTACAGGTGGCTGAGCGGCGGCTGTCGAAGGGGGGCGCTGCGACAAACCATCAACTTCTGTCTGCATGTAACCTGTAAGTCGGTAGTACCCTTTGATATAACAGAGAACCACTTTATGAGACCATATTACGAGGCTGTCACTTGAACAGAACACAGTTTCTGATGTATTGTGTTAGGCATTGGTTGCTGGTATTATTAACCTCGTATTCTCCAGGGTATATTTTGGTTTGTCCATCTGAATTCACATGACCAAATCGTAAAGCAAATTATTCAGTAACTGCATGAAATAAACGTTTTTTTTTGTTTTTTTTTTGTTTTTTTTTTTTGTAAAAGCTTCCCTCAAATTAACAGAACATGTGTTTTATGATCATACATATGTTGCTATATGCTTACAATTTACTGCTGAAAGCCCAAAATCACTTTATAAAAATACTTTTTACAGAGCAGATCACTGAAGAGACGCCATCTGTTTATAGTTTGTAGCCCAGATTTGTGGAAAAATGGGTCGACTTTCAGTAGACAAAAAAAACTTGTAAGTTCAGCTTCTTCTATTATAAGGGTTTAAAATTACATCACCCATCTATTTGACTGGAAAGAAGACAGTTACAGCTCTCATATGACACCCACCTTCTGAATGTAGCTTATGAAATATGAAAGTTATGAAGAATATGATGAAATGCATTTTGGAACCACCGGTGGTTCCAAGGAGCATAAGAGGCTACGCTAACTGCTGACCCAGGAGCGATTCAGTGACATAATGTATCACATTCATCACTTCTGTTTAGTGCAAAACATTGTTGTTCAGTTTGAGATGATGCCACCCTACAGACAGAGAAGGACACAGTATATAGAGTAAGAATAAAGTGTCTAGCACTTGAATTAAAACACATGGTATGACTCCAGCACAAATCACTATACCAATCCCTGCCATTAGTGTTTTGCTTGTTGTAAACAGCACACAAATAATTAGTTGAGGCAAATTTTTCTTCAGTTAAATAAGTAGAAAACAGAGATTATTGTGTCAGAATCAACGGTTTGGTGTCCCGACAAGACCTAGAGAAGTTCCTCCATGCTTTTATTTCCACCAGCATGGTCTACTGTCATAATCTCAAAAGACCAGTAAACAGCCATAGCTCCTTCAGAATGCTGCTGCTAGAGTTTTAACCAGGACTAAGGAAACAGAGCACATCAGTGCAGTTCTAAAATCTTCACACTGGCTTCCAGTTAGTTACAGAATAGATTGCACACTCTATGCAATTTTACATTAGGAGAGCAATTCAAAGAAATTGTGTGCAGATCTGCTGAATGGGTCACTCTGAACTGTGCTGTGCTAAGAACCGTAAGCTAACATCTACCAAGCTCTGTTCAACTGAACGTCCTTCTCTGCGAAATCACTAGTGGTTCCAAGTCCGCATTCATCATATTCTTTACTTTATAACTTCCATATTTCCTAAGCTACATGTATCATATGAAAGCTGTAATTCTCTTCTTTCCATTCAAATAGACCAATTAATTTTGAGATGGAAAATGAAAATTTGGCTTTAAAATAAGCCACAGAAATACATAATACATAATCATGAGTATTCTTAATTTTAAATAAAATTTAACTTCAACCAAATCACATATGGAATAAAAAGGGCTCATTCTCAGGATTATGAACATATACATTATTATTGTTCTCTAAAACTATCCCATTTTGAGTTATCGCAGGAAATATAGGCCATTCTTAACAATTAATTTTGGCGTGAAAGGTTGTTTTCTTTTACCTTTGTTATCATACTTTATTTAGTTTCATATATCCATCATTACACATCTTAAACTTAAGATCAATTGTATTGAATTCCTTAGACCTTTCTGAAAGTAATGATCCCTCATTTGCCTTTCCAGGACCTTCCTATCATAAATAATTCACTGTATTATTCGAATAGCATTCGAAAAGAATATTCGGAAGAATAGGTCTCTTATTTTGAAACATCAGGCAAACACAGAAGTGATGGCGCAACACTAATATGCTAATATAATATAATATATATATTAATATATACTAATATAACATGCCTAATATGGTCAGGAGGGGTTGGAGATTACTGTTCATGTGACTCCACCCATGAGACACTAGTTCAATCCAATCAAATGCTGAGATTTCCTGCACACAATGTAAGCAGAGACAGAGAGCCTTGAAACTGTGCCAGCATTTGTGAAGTGTTTAGAGAGGATGACGGACGCTGAATGAGATGAGTTAGGCCGGAAACATACTTCATGCAAGCACACAAATGCAGATGCTTTGTGCTACACAGACTGGGTTTTGCATGTTGTTGCATTCTAAAATGTGTAATTCATAATACAATGCAAACAAAACCTGCATGTTGAGTGTTACAGCAACAACCAAGCCTGACCAAGCTGTCTCGTACCGCCAGTGTGCTCTCTCCCGGTCAACTGACAAAGCAGATTAGCGGTTGGACAAACCCCTTGCAAAAAACAGTTTGCTTTCATGAACATATATATCACTGTCTAAAGAAAACCATGTATCTCCATTTTTGTCGTTTTTTTATTTTTCTACATCATTTCACCAGCTGTCCTTTGTGCTGTGTTTCATGATGAATGGACCAATAGAGATGCTCTAAAATCACATGGAATTAAAGCTTTTTACATTAACTTACATTAAAAGGTAAGAGTGTTTTTACCCTCTCCTGTAAAGTTACTATTTTGGAGATACTTGTTTTTCTTTGGACAGTGACCATATGTTTATGCAAGCAAACTATTTTTTGTGAGGGGTTTGTCCAGCTGCTAATCTGCTAGGCCAGTTGACCGGGATAGAGCATGTTGGCAGTATAAGACAGCTTGGTCAGGCTTGGTGCTGGTCTACCACCCTGTAACACTCAAAATGCAGCTCTTGCTTGCGTTGCATTATGAATTGCACATTTTAGAATGCAACAATGTGCAGAACCCAGTCTGCAAAGCACAAAGCATTTGCACATATGTATATACCCAAGTCAACATGTTTAGCTGTTGAGGCCATTGGGAGAACAATAAATTTTGTTCTGAGTTGTTCTGTATCGCCCCGCAATGAGTACTGAGGGTAACGCTGCTTCCGCTAAAGTGCTAACAAAAGCAATGACGATAAATAGAGTGTGTACAGCTCACTCAAGTGTTCGAGCTTAAAGCAAAAGCAGACTTATTTCAGTTTCAGTGGTTTGTCTGCTGACCATGAGGAGAGGAAAAATTAGTTTCTGGAGTTAACAAAGGAATAAACTTTGTTACACAGAGTAAAAGAACCTCTGTGTCAGCATCTCACCGCTGCTGACTAACCTTACACTGAATGCAATTTGTGCTTTAAAGTTGCTGCTGCAGCCACTTTCAGAGGAACAGTTTTAATTCTTCAAAAGCTGTCAGTATCTGAGAGAGCGAGTGCTCAGCGGGGAGCAGATGTTCGTTCACTGGAGCTGGTGTTTGTGGATAACATCTACAGAGGCGCTATGGACCCTGACGACCCAGGGTGCCCCCCTGCCGGAATGTGCACATGTTTAGCTTTTTGCCAACTAGTTTATTGTTAGTAAGCTGTTTCAACATCTCCAGCTCCAGCTAACATGTATTAACTAGCATTTTGGTTATAGTTATTTGTACCTCCATCGATTTAACACTCTGTAGATGTTTGTTGAAATTACTGTGCTCTGATAGCTGTGAAGGAGTTTTTCCACAAAGCTTTTAAAACCTTTATTTAGTTTGGACTCCCACATTGTTGTGTGTTTGGTTCTCCAACCATTCTGGACACATCCTCAAATTTTAATCTTGGAAACTCTGACAAAGATAAAGTAACTCACCTTTCTGTGGTGAGCTGAAATGATATGAACGCCTGTGTTTCTGGGGTTAGTAACTGTCCGTAAAGCAATAGCGGAACTTTTTTCCCCCCAGCATTTACGCACTTCCGTTTCTTGTGAAAAGTGCTTATTGGTATATCAGTTCCATAATACATTTTATGACTTTCTGGCTGCATGTGTTATTGTTACGAATATCATTATAGCTGTATCATACAGCTACAGGCCTTCTCCATAATATGCTATTTGATAATACAGATATTTGTATGATAGTGACTTGTTGATACTGATGCAGGCTGCCTTGAGAATGTTGGTTCTCTTGAAGATTTTGGGCCATGTTGTGCTATAAGAACAAGTGATGAGAGCTAGTATAGCATGGAAGTGTGTGGCAATCCTTGGTCATGCCCACCAGACCACCCATACCTTATATGAAGGCAGAAAGGTTTGTTAGAGCCTTATTTTTTTAGCAATTTGGAGAGAAAAGGACACTTAGACCCTGTCCTATTTCTTATTTTTCACCGTTACCCCTTGTTTTTGAGTGTCACCTTGCTCTTTAGAACTGAGTTACAAGGGTTAGTGGTTGAAATCTTCCCCTCCGAAATGGGACCCTCAAATAAACAGGCTACCAGCACTGCTCTGTAGACGACCCTGCCAGTCTGCAGCGATAGCACAGGGGGGTAAAGTTCAGCCCCTCACTGCTGGGCTTTAGTTAATCATATGCCTTCAAAGAGGGGGGCAATTATTTATTATCACCCACACCTAATTCTTCGGTGATATGAAGCTGAAGTCAGATATTCACCAGCTTCTTGTTGTAATGTCCCCATTCCACTTTTAATAGTACCATTTAAGGTGTAATGGGAAATTTAGCTAGCTAGCTACTGCATAATACTAGTGTTTTTTTATGCTTGTTATGAAGAGAAGGACCATAATACACTGAAACGACATTAAGATAATACAATGGTTATCGTAAATCACCCTACCCCTAGACGTGAACACACCAAATGGAAGGGTAGAGCTAAGTGGTGGGGTGATGGGTGAAAGGGGATTGGGCCTTGGAGATGCCAAAAGGACATTTGGAGATGCCTTATGTCATCCTTTTCTCAGACTTGAATAACTGCATAATAAATTTAGCTGAATGACCTTTTTGTCCACAAATCTGAGCTAAAGACCGGATCTCAGGGGTGCATGGCTAATATTGTTGGGATTTTTTTTGCCTTCACAAAAAACACCAACACTTTACATGTATCCTGTGCAGTTACTGCATAATTTGGGTTTGTAAATCCAAAGAAAATCCAAAATGTAACCAGGAGTAATGTTATATCTGTAAATTTTATGTCTTTGCTGAGAAAAATAAATTGTAATCCATGCATGATTATGCCACTCATAGTGTATTGAGCAGAAAACCATTAAATGTGGTGTCAATGTTATCTCCATCCCATACCCATGTGCCACCTAATAGAGTTACATAAATCTGAGCTCCTCTCTCTACTACTGTGATGACCCCGTTTGAGCCGTTTGCTGCATAACCAGCAGGTTGTCGATGAGATGCTGTTGCTAGTCGTTGTCCATTCATGAACATGGATAATGCTGTGCGGTGATCAGTTCCACCATGGTAGAAAAAGCTGAAATAGTACACTCCTCGCACCGGTGCTGTAAATATTCCTACGTCAGAAAACAATGAGTGAATGAACAAACTGCTGTTCCACTTCAACTGTACTGCATTTAACATTTAACAACATGGTGAAACCTCACAATTTCATAATGTGACAAAAATTATAGGTTTAAAATAATAAAAATGAAATACGTGTAGTTATAAATAGTATTGTTTGGTTAATTTGTGTGTACAGTACATTTTTAGCTATATGATATGTATTTTAATATATTACACTTCACTGTGAAGATCATACTCTACCTGTAGATGGATTGTAGGCATTGCCCAGATTTGTGAAGACCTTCCTGTAAACTAGGATCGTATCTGTGTTAAAAGGTCCAATGTTCGCATTGCCTCCCACCGCGGCTGAGAATGCCACCTTTGGAACACCTGTTGAGATATTGAAGCAGTGATTTACTGAAAACAGAATCATCAGAAGAACAGGGTAGCCACTTCTGCTCACAGTCATCCTGTGGCCTGTTACCAAACATGATCTTGCACTCATTCATGAACTGTAAATGCAGTTTAGAGCCCCTTCCAGATTGCATGTATACTGTAGATTCATTAGCAAACTGGGATTAGTGGGAATTTTGTCAATTAATCAGACAGATGTGCATTCCTTACAGAACAGAACGCAGTAGTGCAACCACTGCCAGTCGTACTAAAAGGCACAAGTTATCTTTTTTCCCAAGGGATTTAAAAACATTATCAATTAGCCTCTTTCGATATTAAACACTGTACATTTGTTTTATATGAATGTGGTAAGTTGCCTTGAAATGTGTGCATTTGCATTGTGTTGTTTATATTTAAAGTGCTATTTACTAGACTTATTAGCTTTGGCTTGGTGTTTCACTTAGATGTAAAAGACATCTTATGTACTTACATGTCAAAGTAAACTTAAAACACACATAGAATGAAGGAAAATGTGTTTTTAGACACTTTTATTTTTATTATTTAACATACTTTTTATGCATATATTCACTTCAAAATTACACAATAATGTCTTTTGACTTTGCAAAATATTTGTAAGTATAAACAGATATGAAATTGAGAGAGGAAAAACATATTGATACGCCACAAATTAATAACATTACTGCTTTCCTGCAAAGCTGTTGTTGCCAGTTACAGCTTTGAGTAAGGAGTAAATGAGCATAGCGATAGTTCAAGCAAGCCACAAAGTAAAGCTCTGGACGCAATATCAAATTCCCAGCTGTCACCAGTTGTCAATCAGCTGACGGCTCAGTTGATCACCTGTTATGCATACAATTGGCTAAATTCAACAGGGTGCTCATTTAAGCTGCTTTAGTCTGTCCATTCTCAAACTTCCTCTGCAAGGCACTTTTCAGTCTCCTGCTAGCCAGGTGTTTGCCTAGTATGGTCATTTTGGGGGTCTTTCTGCTGCTCTCTCTGCCTTGGGCTTTCCATATGTGCAACATGGAAGAGCAGGGGGGTCCCAGAACAGAGCCGTACCGCCAGACACAACTACTGCAAATGGATATAACATACTGATTGAAGGGTATTTATGGTAGGTATGCTGCTTCAGTATGTACGGTAGCCTGCTAGTAATATGGCTGCACACAGTAGTTTGTGTTGAGCACAGCCTGCAAAGCCAACTCAACAGGATAACTGTGCTTTAACAACACTAGATTAAAGGGCTTGATATTGTACAGTCCTGAAATTAGTATGTCTATAAAAGTTTTAAACAGAGAATGTGTCTGTAGTTTGGCTGGACAGCACATGTGGAACTTGCCGTTCTACTATCCAGAGGTATCCGTGGTAGCATCTTTCTGGTGGTGAGTTTTATCTAATTGGAGTGTGCTGTGTTTGGCATCCAGTGATGCAAGCTTGTCCTCACTGTTTATAAGAACAGGCATATGTCACTGTTTCACTGTTCTAACGAATCCTTTAATCTGAAGTAGGGCTGGGCAATAAAATGATAACGATAATTATCGCGATATAACTTTTCCTCATTAGAGCGATAAAGGTTAAAAAAATGTAACTGTAGATCAAACAAGACACAAAAGCACCGCTTTCAGTTTAAAAATACCTAAAAGGAGGACTTTGTTTATCTGGTGCCCGATATATTGCGGTTCACCCCTTAAACTACTACGATAGAATAGAGAAATCTAGTCGTCTACTAGCTGATGTTTGAATACTGTGATATGCTCTGACATGGATGTGGTAGGAGTGACGGCAGTAAGGTGGTGTGATCCATCACTGACGTAGCTACCGAGCCAGCTATTGTTTGCTGTTCGAACTAAGTTGGCGTTGTTGAGAAACTAAACAGTTTAGCACTGTTGTTGGCCACTTGTTTAGCATTTGTAACGGGATCGCCGATCACTCGTCACCAGACATCTAAAAATCTTTTCTTTGTTAAATCATGACTATTACAAAAACTGCAGCCGTGCTTTTCCAGCTGATAAAAACAGCTCACCAGACACTTTCTCCCACTGTCCCATGATTTGTGAAATGTTCCACAAGGATAGTTTAAAACAGCAATTAACCACCCAGGAGCAAAAATCAGCCTTCAAACTTAAAAGAAATAATGATTTGACATTTATCGCGATATGTATCAATATTGAACAATATGAATTTTGTTTATCATGATAGACAAATGATATGGCATTTTTGGCCATATCGCCCAGCTCTAACCTGAAGTGATATTGTTTTTGATACATTTTTGATAGAGTGATTCACATCAGTGTTGTTGCCCAGTTAGTTCTATGATTCAGTAAGCTTAAATTTGCAGTTCAATAAATTAAGAGCTATTTGAGTTTATTAAGTTGCTCTTTATCCCTCTCAGGGGAAACCTGTGTTTCATTGTTTGAACCATTACATTGGCTAAATTCATCAGAGTGCTTCGTAATCCTCTGCGCAACCTCCTGCTGGCTGGAGGTTTGCCTGGTATTGTTGTTTTGGGGGTCTTTCTGCTGCTTTGTGCATACATGGAAAGCCCAGGGCAGTGAGTCCCAGAACAGAGCCATAGCGGCAAATATAACTTACTGCAAATGGAAACAAAATGTTTCCAAAACAAAGTAGTCGTGGGTCGTTGACTTGTTGAAATGTCTATCTACTCCCCAGATTCACTTTCTTGGCCAACGAGATTAAATTCTCCACTAATATGGAGTATTCTTATTTCCTTGGATGACTTATAATGACAAGGTACCATTAGCAGAGAGGCAGCTCCATATCATGATGCTCCCACCTTCATACTTCATTGTGAGTATAGTGTTCCTGGAATCATATGCACAACTCTTATTGCCAGAGAGTTCCAGTTTTGTGTCACTTGACCGGAGCACATGTTTCCTTTGTAGCAGAGGAGTTTTGAGAAGTGTGTAGGAACAGATTGCAGTGCAGTTCGTTGCTTGTCCTTCTCTGTGTAACTATTTTTGAATGACTGTTGGCTTCTCTCCTACCTTCCTTATCATTACTCTGAGAGTGCACTGTGACATCCTGCATGGTGCACCTGCCTGGGAATGCTTAGCTGTGGTTCCATGAACTTTCAACATGCATATTATGGGACTGTACCAGTCGCCTGACCCACAGGCACTGATAACGGCCACGAGAGAGGGTGGGAAGGCAATGCCTGAGCCTCGCACGCTGACAAGAGCTGCAAGGCTCAGACATCACCTTCCAGCCCTCTCTCGTGGCCATCTTCAGTGCCAATGGGCCGGGCAACTGGTGCAGGTACCAGTGGTACTGGCAGTGATGTTTAAGGTCTTTGCTATGACTGTAGCTTTTTCTGTTTGAGTGTTGTTTAATAATGTTGTCCCTGAGGACATTACCACCTTCCTTATGGTAGACACTTGACATTACCATCTTCTCAGTCAATGGCAATGTCAACACCAGGTGCAATTTACACAAGAACATTATGTTGCAGCATTAATATCTACAACTTGAATAATCTCTAAATATATATTTTGATATGGCATCTAAATACTTTTTTCTGTCAATTTCATCCTTTACTCAAAGGCTTATGAATAAACACTTTCTGTTCATATTTATGAGTGCAATTCAAAGGATACTGTTTGCAAATTTGAAGTAAATGGATATCCTACACATCCATGAACACACTTACCTTTTTCTTCCCTTTTCAGAACTTCTATCTCATCCTCACTGGCCTTCAGTCTAGACATAATCAGACGAAGCTGCGTTTCCATCGTCTCCAGTTTCTCTCTCATCGCTCCTTCTTTTCTCAGCAGTGAAGCGCACAGGTCTAGTGGACAAACTGATTTAGTCATTTGTTTCTGAAAATCCACTTCAGTATCATTGCTGAAGACTTGATCGTTTGCACAAGCTGGTGTCAACCAACCGCACAACAAGAAAACAAGAACTAAAGCTTCATTCATTTCTAATATGTGAGCTGAACATCCTAGTTTTCTAGATTTCTCTCCAGGTGGGACATTTATAGGCAGGTACTTTCAAAGACATCTGAGATACTCTGTACTTTGGACGTTCTGGTTAATAATTCTTTGGGCATTTTGTTAATTATTTTAAGGCACACAGTGTTAATCTAGATCCAGCTGTAAAGATATAAGCAAGCCCTTTAGGACATGGGAGGACGGTAGCAGAGCAAAACATGTTTTTTTGTAGAATAAAAAGGCTGCTAGTCTGTAGTATCTCTACTTTTTACAACACAACTGACAAATTTAGAAACTATGAAATAAGTGGCGAATATAAAATTTCCTGTCATTAGCCCAACATTTTACATTTTAGTGTATTTGTTAACATAAGTTAAGGTGTTTATATCTCTACTTTTATTGCATTCTTAGAAGTAAATGATTATACATGGTTCCTTGATGGACAGATAGTTTTAGGAGAAATCTTTCACTGGTATGGAACACTGTGTGGAGGTTCTTTAAACTTTAAAAATGTTCTTTACACTCAAACATCTCATTTACAAAAATGCTTCTTTATAGAAGTTTTTTTTTTCTGGGAACTAAAAGCAGTTCTTTTCTAGCATCACTCCAAAGAAATCCTTTTGTACCCCTCAGCATGTTTCAGAACATCAGTATTAGGGGTGGGAATCTCTAGGCACCTCACGATTTGATTCAATTACGATTCAGAGGGCTGCGATGCGATTATAAAATGATTATCGATGCATCTCGATGCATCTTTTTTCTATATAGCATTTATATTTTCTCACTGTGTGAGCTCAAGTTTCGAGTTCAAGTTTCAAGTTTATTTGTCACTTGCACAACGTCAGGACATTTATGCATTGAAATGCTTGTGGTGAGGCTCAGGTAATCACTCTACAGAAAGTAAATAAGTAAAAATAAAAATACAAGAAAAACAAACTGAAATATATTAAATATACACAAGATATAAGCCTGTTTCGCAACGACTGAGAACCGGCGTGCAGACTGCAGGTCACATAGCAGCGATGCGTTATTCGCATTTATAAGCAGCACAGTTGGTTTCCTGGTAAGTTAAATCTGCAAGGAGAGACTGTCAGACACTAAAAAGTGGCCAAGCTGAAGTCAGCTTCTCTTTCGAATTCTCCCGTTCCACCTTAAATGGTGCCGCATTTACATTCGGCGCCTCAGTTAGAATTTAAGGTGGAACGGGTCAATTCGAACAAGAAGCTAGAGAATAAAAAGAGACTTCCGCCTCGTACAATAGTCAAACTTTGAGAGACATTTAACTGATCTACTTCTGAGGAAAAGTTTTCTGGCGGAGATGAAAGAAAAGCGCTATAACTGAAGCTTAAAGCAGAGCGAAGTAAATCTGAGTTTTCCTTTATATTGTTTAGTCTTTACTAGGACATTATCACATACTGAGACATTAAATGTTGCGGCTCCCAAGGTGGTTTGATTTTTGTTGAAAGGACAAAATGTTAACATTTGGGTTGTGACTCCTGACCTAACCTGGCTTTTAATGCAGAGGGAGCCGGGCGGATTTCTCACTCATCCAGTTGTGTTTTTGTTATGTGCTGCCACAGACTGTCCGGGCGCTGCACTTCCGCACTTCCAAGTTCCGCCCTTTGCGTTCCGTAGAGCTGGGCGATATGGCCAAAAATGTTATCACGATAAACAAAATTCATATCATTTGATATCGATGTATATCGTGATAAATGTCAAATCATTATTTCTTTCAAGTTTGAAGGCTGATTTTTGCTCCTGGGTGGTTAATTGCTGTTTTAAACTATGCTTTATGGTCGGAACACGACAAACACTCACCAAACAGTGGAACATTTCACAAATCTGTCATGGGAGAGTGGGAGAGAGTGTCTGGTGAACTGTTTTTACCAGCTGGAAAAGCATGGCTATTTTGTAATAGTCATAATTTATGAAAGAAAACAGATTATTTTTAGCTGGTGACGAGCGCTCGGCTACCCCACTACAAATGACATCACAGTATTCAAACACCAGCCAGCGACGACTGGATTTCTCTATACTATCGTAGTAGTTTAAGTGGTGAACCTCAATATATCAACACCAGACAAATGGAGTCCTCTTTTTAGGTACGTTTAAACTGAAAGCGGTGCTTTTGTGTCGTGTTTGATCTACAGTATCATCAATTCTCCGTGTTTTGGAGTGACAGAGCGCTGCTTCAAGTTAGCCAGCTGCTAAAAACAGCTAGCCTGGAAAGATAGCGTTCTCCCGCTCTCCACAGCCTCACAGCTTCCTCTGTTTACTTTCGCTTAAATCAGGGCTGTAATTTACATGAACTCACTTTCTTTCACTTCACTCTTTCACTTTCGTTGCTTGTGAACGCACTAATACTTAAATATGACTGTCCGATCACTGTAACAGCGCTGTAGTTGTGAGGATAGTGATTTAACACTGCTAAAGCTGGTTAGGATGTACAGAAAGAGGTGAGTTCGCTGTAGGACAGTATAGGTACACCACTGACCTCGTCACACTCGGTCACAGGAGAGCAGATCGCTGGTCGCTCCACTCAAACAGGGAATGTGTAACTCCGCGTTTCAGCCATAGCTAAAGACTTATCTTACTCGTGGCTCCCTCCCTCTCTAATCATGTAGAAAAACTCGGAAGTGCGCCCTCTCCTGGCGACAGCTGAGTAGTGTCGCTTTCCTTGCAGTAGAAAACGCCACCAAGGCTTTCGCTGTACGTGGGAGTGTAAGAGTAGTGTATTATATCGAACATTTATCGAACATGTCGTATCGCTCTATCGAGGAAAAGTTATATCGCTATAATTATTGTTATCGTTTTATCGCCCAGCCCTAGCGTTCCATCAACATTACATTATAAATTAAATATATAGAAAATTGATTTTTGACATTTGTGAATCAATTCAGAATCGTTCACGTCCGCATCGCGATGCATCTAAGAATCAATTCTTTCCCGCACCCCTAATCAGTATCTATCTTATGTGTGGATAACTGGTGTCTTAGTGTTTTTTTTGTAATATGAACAAGTTCCTTAGTTATCACTATGCTGGGAACAGAAAGAAAGCAGTATATAAATGTTATTTGCGCTGCTAATGCTACCTTTAATCTATACAATTCATGCAACTGTACAAACAAAGTACATAATGTCAGAGACCAAACAGCAACTCTCCAATGCATCCCATACTCACATGCATTCCAGAGACACACCTCTCATGGACGTTACACGTGAGCTGAGTATGAGCTATAAAAAGTCCCTTTATTAGAGCAGTTTAGTTGAGATTCAGTTATATATGGCAGTCTCAAGGACTAACTGAGGTCAATAAAGGCAGAGATTAGGCAGTGATTAGTCATGTATTCCTTGTCGGCACATTGCATGTAACATTTTAATTGCCATTTCTAACTCACCACTGCCCTAAGATGTTTATATTCTTTTGGAACAGAAAAAGTCTCTTGCAGCAAAACAGCAGTAATTTCTCTATATTTTATGGAATGTGTTTCTCATACCTGTAGCAGGCTGGTAAAAATGTGCACAATGAAACCCTAGACTGGCTAGACTGAAGCTCATTGACCTTTTTATTTACAGAGAGTGTAAAGCCTTGAGATTTACATTTACAGCCGTGAGACCGCAGAAAAAAAGGGAAAAAAACAGATAGATTATAAGTGCATTTCAGTTCATCATAGGTCTTCCATACCAGCTCACCTAGAGCCTGTCCAGTCTCATCATGGACTTCCATGAAAAAAATTCAATTCAATTTGTGTTTAATTATGAATTTTTAAAGCTCAGTTTAACTAGAATTGAGTTCAACTGCTTACAGAATGAATGAACAGAGCTGAAATATTAACTGGGTACAAACACAACATTAATAATCATATTGAACTTCAAGTCAGCTGGTCTCATGTTAATAAATATCTGTAAGAGGTTAAATTAAAGGATGTAGTTTGGATATCAGATTGCTACATTTCAAAATTCCTTGGTGAAGACCAATCAGGATGGTTTTGTTTTAGGAGCCCTGGCACCAGTACAACTTTGTCACACAGGTTATTTGTACCCTGGGGGATACAAAACAGTGTGGGGTGAAGATGGGGCACGAGACACATTTTATACACTTCCAAATGCGTAGTGTCCCATAATTGACATCAGGCTGTGACCTATTGCTGACAGCAGTGCAGGCATCATCCTACATTACAATAACATGACTGTCAACAAGAACACAAGCCTCGCTTAAACCCAGCAACACCCTTCCCTATAAGGCATGTATCTGCTGCAGACATTGGTCTTAAGATAGCCTATTTCAAATGAGCATTTTAAGTAATCCACTGACAACGACAATAACACAAGCTAAGATTTTATTCATTTGACTTTAGAAAAAGGTAAAAAATAATGCTCTTTCTGGGTCTCACTTTCACAGGTCTCCAATTATTTGACTGTATCTGCTTCAAGTTCAAAATATATCCACAAATGTTGAGCAAGAAATTGACAGAGGTAATGGCAGATAGGAGCAGTTAAGCAGTGAATGGAAGACTAAAGTGGGGCTTAGGTTGGAGTACATCACGCTTATCAAGCAATATAAAGTACCGGAGAGGGGATCCGTGCCAATTCTAAAGTGTCCCCTTCAGACCACTATAGCCAACGGCTTATATAGGCTATTTGTTGTTGAATAAGGAGACAGAACATATGGTCCTTTTTAAAATGATCTCATCTATTTGGAACTAAGAGAAGAAGGGAGAAAGTGAGAGCAAAACTACTCTTCTAAATACACCTCATATTCCCCCCTTCGAGACTACCACAAAGTCTCGAAAAACAAAATAGTAACATATACATGTATGCAGTTGTAACAAAATAACAGTTCCTCCTACACATGCTTCCTACAACATGAACTTAACAATACAACAGAGTGTGAGAGCGAAAAAACCTGTCAGGCAGCTATCATTCCTGAAATGTCCAGAAAACCACCAACCAGTATCTTTTGCAAAAACAACAGATGCTAATTGAAACATCAAATACAGATTAACACCTTA